ATTGGGCTCCCTGCTCGGCGGGAAGCCTGCTTCTCCTTCTCCCACTCCCCCTGCTTGTGTTCCCTCTCTCGCTGTCTGTCAAAACAAATAAATAAAATCTTAAAAACAAAACAAAACAGAACTATAGAGAACAAACTGAAGGTTGATGGAGGTGGGTAAGTGGGGGATGGGCTCAATGAATGACTGGTATTAAGGAGGGCACTTGTGATTAGCACTAGATGTTAATATATAAGTGATGAATCACTAAATTCTACTCCTGAAACCAATATTACACTATATGTTAACTAACCAGATTTTAAATAAAAACTTGAAACAAAAAAATAAATAAGTAAATAAAATGATGATAAAAGAAAAGGTGAAAATGACTTTAAAAATGTGAAATACTTATGGAAAAAGATTACCAAAAATTTAAAACACCTTTTGAAAACTGTATCACAGAAATTTTTTAAGACTTAAATAAATGGAAAGATACACTTTGTCCATGTCAGAAAATGGACCATTTTTTGAAATGAACCAAAAAGACCATTCTCCAGAATTGGTCTAAAGTCACAAATCTCAATCATAATTCCAGGAGGCTTTTCTGTATAAACTGACAACCTGATTCTTAAATTCACATAGAAATGCAAAAAGTCTAGAAAAGCTAAAACAACTGTAAAAAAGAACAAGGCTGGGGTGCATGAGTGGCTCAGTTGGTTGACCATCCAACTCTTGGGTTTCGGCTCAGGTCGTGAACTCGGGGTCCTGGGATTGAGCCCGGTGTCTCGTTCCACACTCAGCTTGGAGTCAGCTTGAGATATTCTCTCTTCCTCTCCTTTTGCCCCTCCCCCTGCTCTCTAAAATAAATATATAAATAAAATCTTAAGAGAAAAAAAAAAGAACAGGGTTGGTGAGTTTGCACTACCTGATTACAAGAATTTTTATCAAAACCGAGTAATCAAGACAGGGTAGTATTCGTGTCAGAATAGACAAATGAATGAACAGAACAGAGCCCAGAATAAGACCCACACATATATAGTCAACTGACATTTTATAAAGGTGCAAAGGCAATACAGTGGAGAGATATGCATATACAAAAAAAAAAAAGAACTTGGATACATATATGGTACCATATATATTACTCAAAATAAATAATAAACCTAAGTGAAAAACCTAAAAAACAAAACAAAACCCAAAAAACCCTAAACCTTCGAGAAGAAAAAATTGGAGAAAATCCTCTGCTCTTGTAATAAAGCAAAGATTTCTTAGGTACAACACCAAAAGAATAATTCATTAAGAAAAGTTCATGTCCTGGGCACCTGGGTGGCTCAGTTGGTTAAGCGACTGCCTTCGGCTCAGGTCATGATCCTGGAGTCCCAGGATCGAGTCCCGCATCGGGCTCCCTGCTCAGCGGGGAGTCTGCTTCTCCCCTGACCCTCCCCACTCTCATGCTCTCTCTATCTCATTCTCTCTCTCAAATAAATAAATAAAATCTAAAAAAAAAAAAGAAAAAGAAAAGTTCATGTCCTGTACTTCATAAAAACTAAATCCTTCTGCTCTTCAAAACACATCGTTAAGAGAATGTTGAAAGGCAAGCCAAAGACTGGGAGAAAATCTTTGCAAAGCATATAACTGGTAAAGGAAAGTCTTGTATCCAGAATATATAATGAATTCTCAAAAATTAACAAGAAAAGACAACAGAAAAGCATAAAAGACTTGGACAATTACTTCACCAAGGAAGATATATGGATGGCAAATAAGCACATGACAAGATATTTAATATCATTAGCCATTATTAGGTAAATACAAATTAAAACCACAAGGTACTGCTCCACACCCATTAGAATACCTAAAATCAAAAAGAATGACAATACAAAGTGTTGGCAAAAACATGGAGACACAGAACAATTATCCGCTTCTCTTGTGAATACAGAGTGCAGCCACCTGGGGAAACAGTTCAGCAGTTTCTAAAGAAGTTAAACATAACACCTACCATATGATTTAACCATTCAATTCCTAGAGATTTACCCAAGAGAAAGAAAAACATAAACATAAACATAGACTTGAACATGAGTGGTTTTTTTTTTGAGAGCTTTATTTGTAAGAGCTAAAAATTGGAAAAACAATTGCCCGTTAACAGGTGAATTAATAAACTCTACAGAATGAACTGATAAGCCCACATGGAATACAAAGCAACAAAAAGGAGAAAAAGGAACTACTGATACACACAAGAATGTTACCTTGACATACTAATGCTGAATCAAATTGTAATAAAAACGAGTATATCCTCTGAGAGTCCATTTCAATAAAACTTAAATACATAAACTAGCCTACAGTACAGTGGTTGCTTGGGGAGGGAAGGGGAAATATGAGAGGGATGGATTAAAAACGGGCACAAAGAAAATTCAGTGGTGAGGGGTATGTTCATGATTTTCATGGTGGTGACACTTTCATGAGTACATATGTCAAATTTACCAATTGGTATGATTGGTTTAAATATCTGTAGCTTATTGTGTGTCAATTTTACCTCGATAAATCACTTGGAAAAAAGGGGAAAACCTAGTGATAATTATAATGTAGCCCAAAATATAATGCTAATGAAAAAAGGCAACAACAAAAGACTGTATATATGATTCTGTTTATATGAAATGCCTAGAAACTGCAAATTAATAGATTCTAGAAGATAATCAGGGTGGTGTGTGGCTGGGGGTAGGAGTGGACACTGAGTGCACAGAGGGCCAAGAAAACTTTTCCAGGTGATGGAAATCTTTTAAACTTGGATTGTCTTGAAACTGGATTGTACTCATGGTTGCACAATTCTAGAAACTCAGTTAAAAATCACTGAAATGTAGGGATGCCTGAGTGGCTCAGTCGGTTAAACGTCTGCCTTTGGCTCAGATCATGATCCCAGGGTCCTGGGATCGAGCCCCGCATCGGGCTCCCTGCTCAGTGGGGAGCCTGCTTCTCCCTCTGCCTGCAGCTCCCGGATTGTGCTCTCTCTCTCTCACAAATAAATAAATAAAATCTTTTTAAAAAATCACTGACATGTAAATACTTACACCTGGTGAATTTTATGGTATGTAAATTAAACCTCAGTAAAACTACTAAAATTATAATTGAATATTTTATTATTACTTAAATTAATATGTTTGACTCAGACACCATGGTCTGGTTCACCAACCTGTATTGGTATTTATTGCAATGATTAAAAATGTATAAATATCATCTCCTATGCAAATATGTTGAGGATGAGAAATTACATGACACAATTAATTTTTCCTTATGTTTATACAGATCCTAAACGTGGGGGGGGGGGGAAAGGTTCTCACTATGGAACAGAATATAGAGTAAAGGAGATGCATTCACTTATAATGACCCTAAAAGGAAATATCCAAAAGTATAGTAAACTTGAAGACAATAAAAACAAAAGCTACATCTTTAACAGTCAATATATCACTAGCTCACTCCGAACACACTTAATTTTGTGGGGACAGTGAGAAGAGTGGTGATGTTGGGAGACAAAGTTTTCAGTAAGGTCCGTGAGGACGGACTGGAAGGAGCGAACTGCGTTTGGATTAACTGGATTTAATGCAGCCTTTAGGTCTGTTTCCGGCATTCAAGGTTTGAGCCTGAACCTCCCGATTTTCTAGGGGCCCTGGACCTCCTCACACCCTGACAGCACCCACCAGGCGTCTCCAGGAGTGAGCCCTATATTAAATGCCATACTAACCCACAAACAAGCCCAAATAACCAACAGGGACGTCTCCAACCCACGGAAGCCGGACGAGACAGGCGTTCACGGATATACTTTCTACCCCACTTCTCAACGGCCGAGTCCCACAAGCCGAGTGATCCACGTGGACCTCAAACCCTAAGAGAGTCGGCCTCTCGGTCGAGATTTCTTCAGACTCGTAATCACTGACTCCCAAAGGCCCCCTTCTCCTCAGATTCCTCAGTGACTGAATCCAAATAAAATCCCAACTGCGGTTCTTCACACATGCTCCCGTTTCACGGACCCCACAGGCCGAGAGCTAAACCGAGAACCCGACTCACCCGAACCCGAACCTCTACAGACGCTGCTGGCAGCGACGAAAAGCCACCCATTTCCGAAGCCACTTCTCTCGGAGTGCCCTTCCTCGCGGTACCTAGGGTCTCAGAACCACCCGGCCAGCGACTCCCGCGAGGACCTGGGAGCGTTACGGGATTTCGGAGCTCCGGCGGGCTCCGCTCTATGACCTAACGGCCACGCCCACCCCGGCGTTTCTGATGGGAGGGGCCATACTGGCTGTGTGGGGAGATCGAAATCATTACTGGCCACCTCAGTGTTGCGAGGGATGATCAACAAAGCCGTGCTAACTGGGTAACACTTCAGAGGTCGGTGTCTACCTAAGGCCACCGAGCACATTTATCCGCCGAGGGAAGAGAGATGGCGACGCCCTCTGTGCACTGCCGAGCGCAGACGTTAGGCTGGAGCACCGTGGGCGCGGCCATCTTAGAGGAAGGCAGGTGTCCGTACGGCTGGGATGGGCTCAGGCCAAGGCCGACTTGGGGAGAGAAGAAGCGGAGACGTCGCTGGAGAGGCAGCGGTCACAGAGTTGACAGGAGCAGTGGTCGCCTAACGTCTTAGGTTTAGGGAGAGGGTGGTTGTGTGTGGAGTGGGTAAGGCCCTTGTCGTTTAGAAGGAAGACCGCCATTGAAGGGGCGAAGCCAATAGGGTGGAGCTTCGTAAAGAAATGCTAATCCCCCCGTGGGAGTGGGTCCACAGCTACTATCTCCAGTAGAGGAGGGCTGAAGTGAAGGTGGAATGTATGTTTTCCTTCCAAAAATAAATTAAGATGACCCTGTGATTTTGGAGAATATGAAATTACGAGATAATTTATTATACTTTGCATAGTTCCCAAATTTTTAAGAGAGAGCACACTTTAAAATTTTATTATTATTTAGGCGTGGGAGGAGGTTTAATCTTAGAGGATTTAAGTAGCTACTCCCTTTTTAGAAGGCAACCTCAGTCAATTTAAATTTTTCATTCTCTTTGACCTAGAAATTCTTTTTTTTTTTTTTTTAAGATTTTATTTATTTATTTGACAGAGAGAGA